GGTGGGACCGGTTCGCGTTTAGTATTCTGTTGACGGACTATGCCGGCGCCGCCGCGGTGGGAGGAGGAAGCGGCAAGTCGCGCATAGGGCGGGGCTTGGAGGGGCGGACGCTCGTGCTGGTGGGGCGCTTCTTTGCGCCGTGGGTGAGGGCGGGCGGGGTGGGGCCGTATGTGTGGTGTGGTGCGTTGTGTTTCTCTTCCATGCCTCCCTCTCATTTCATCGCAACGCAACCACTGACGAAAACACGCTTGCAGACACGCTCCCGGCGGCGCATCTCACCCCCGGCACGCAGGCGGGCACGGACGTGTCGCCGCGCGGGCGCGCGTGGGTTGGCTGTGGAGGAGGGGCGAGCGGCGAGTGGTGGGATAATAATGGGGGCGCGGATTATAAGGTCGCGTTTCGGTGTGTGGATGTCGAGCCCGCTACGGTGGAAGCACCGGCACCGGCACCGGCATCGACGCAGACGAATGTGATCCCGTTCCCGAGCAGCGTCGAGCCTACTGCGCCCTCGTCTTCAACGCAGACGCAGCAGAGCCAAGCATCGACACAGCAAGCCGCACAAGCGAAGCCCATCCCGCCGCCGCCGCCGCCGCGCACGGCGCATGCGCAGGCGCTCGCGGCGAAGCTCGGGCGGCTGAGTCTGCGGAACTATGCGGCGCCGGGGGGGAGGGCGATGTCGCTGCCTGGGCTTACGCCTGTGTCGGCTGTGACGAGCGCGTTGGCGTCTGTGGACAACAAGGGGGATGCGCCAAAGTCAGAGGAGGGGGTCGTCGAGAAGGATGCGAAGGTAGAGGCGGAGAAGCCCGCACCGGGGACGCAGAGCACGGGAGGGGTGGGGCTGTATTGGCCGTGGGCCACGACGACGACGACGGCGGCGGCGGCTTCTTCCGTGTCTACTGCCGGTGAGTTGATTCCACGTTTAGAGCGTTTTTGCCACCGTACTTATAAGACCTCCTTCCTAGCAGCTGCCCCCACACCCGCGCGCGCGCAAGACGACCACGACTCGGACGACGACGAGGAGGCGCGGCGCGATACGGAGGCGGGGCGCGCGAGACGTGCGAGTAGTGCGAGCACGAGCAGCGTTGCGAGCTCGACGTTCACGGCGGGGGCGGAAGACGACAACGAGACGCCGCCGACGAGCCCGCTGGGCGCGGGGGGGCTGTTACCTGTTATTGAGGGGATGGAGCTGGATTTCAAGCATGAGGATAAGGGGGAGGGCGAGGGCGAGGGCGAGGAGCAGGGGGATAAGGATAAGGAGGACTGGACGCCGACGAACGAGGGTGGCTTTGGCAGGGACGCGTATTCGACGCCGTTGCCTGCGAGTCCGGAGACGGGCTCCCCGCAGACGGGTTCGTCGCCCGCGCCTGGGTCTCCTGGTGCGAACGCGCCCATCTCGCCGCTCACCTCGCCGTCGTCGTCGAGCTTGTACAAGGCGTTTGTGAGGCAGTGGTGTTTTGTTGGCAATGGTGCGTCGGGTGGGAGTGGGGCGCCCGCGACGGGGAAGGGCCCGGGTGTGTTGGGGGTTGGGGGGATGGTGTGAGGTGTGAGTGATAGTCTCCGCGCGAGAAGGCGGATGGACACTTGAAGGACGCCGCGCCGCGACTCGGGGAAGGCGGGCGGGGACGGATGAATGATTACGACGCGACGACGCGACATGACGACGATGAAACAAAACGCAAAACGACGCGCACGCCTCAGCGCACCGAAAAAATTCGACACGATGGCGGCCGACGACCGATGACCGACCAAAATTACTAAAAGGCGCGCGGGCGGAGGAGCGTCCGCAGGATGCACGACGCGACGAACGAGGCTAGCCCTCCCCGCGTCGACCAACTTCCGAGCCCACTCGACAGCCCACTCGACTCCCGACTGTGGCTTGCTGAACGATTATCCCTCATATGGCTGGCCCCTCCCTCCCCTGCTCTCCCGGGCCCACTCACTCACTCTCTTTGTCTCGGTGTATTCATGTACAACACAACACTCAACACTGCGCGACGACGCACACCGCACGCACTCGGGCGCCATCGTCGGCGGGTTTTTGTTCTTGGTTTTTTAATCTTATTTCTATCTCGATCCTGCATATGTACACCATCTCATCTCATCTCTCGGCGTGTGTACGATACTATAACTTTGGCGGGGCGATCTTGCTCACTTCCCCGCTACCCCTTCCCATCCCATCCCATCCCCACTACCCCTTCTTCCTGCCATTGAATACAACCCAATTCGAGTCGATCCCATACATTCGTCGACTTTGATCCCATTCATCCTCGTACCTATAAATGCAATGCTCCCATACATACAGACATCGCGGACACGGATATGATACACTTAGAGACGGACAGCGGACAGTAGTCGCAGATGCACGATAGCGGACTGTATAACAATCAACCCTCTTCCTCCATCCCCATCCCCTTTCTGTTACCTGAGCCCAGACCCGCACACGCACGCGCCCACCCACATACATACATATAGGCCGCGGCGGGCGATAAAAATACGATACGATACACGACGGTATTAACTTATTTTGGGTTTGTGTGTGTAGGCTAGAGGAGACATGCTAGAATTCTTTTCGTTCAAACGTTTTGTATTTTTGGATACGTTAGACATTTAGAGATAGAGATTTGCGTATGGAGAGATGCGTACATTATAGATGCGATGCTGAAATTGACTGCATTTTTGTGTGATATATTGAATTTTGGTTTGGGATGATATTGAGCGCAGTTTGAGCGCAGTTTGATGAAGATTGGCTAGGAACGCGCCAGGGCTTGGAATGGGGATCTGCAGCGCGAGATTGCAATGTCGGAGGTGGAGTCGACAGACGGCGATTATGAACTCGAGGCACTTGACGGAAAGGCGAGTCGTAATTTTGTGTGGAGTCGGGTAGCAGGCAGGACAGCGGCTACGGGTTTGAAGGAAGACAGGGAGGCATGGGGATGGATTGTTACCAGGCGAGAACTTTCAGAAAAGAAAAATCGTCATTTATGACGCTTTGGGAGAATAACCCAGCAAGTAGACACCGCCGGAAAGGCACCGAGACAGTTCGGACAATGGACAGGCATCTACGATTGAGATTCGCTTAGAAGGTGGTTGTAACCCTAAGACCGGCGGGAGAACGACAACGTCGCGAGAAAATTAATAGATAGCAGTAAGTAGCTGGAATCTTCATCTCCCCGACGCGGATCGGACGAAAGAAGGCAGGAGGAAGGAAGGGAAGCAAGCCGAGGTTAGGTTAGTCAGTGAGATCTAGAGCGAGAGCGAGAGCGAGAGTGTGGGCTTGAGTGAGCGTAGCTTTGATTTTGAGCTTTGGGTGGGAGATATGAAATCGGCGGTGAAGGCTGAGGAAAGATCCACCGGCGTAGGAAGGCAAGACGGGGCGAGTGACCGGGTATGCTGAAGCTTTGAGGACCGGAGGCCGTGGGGGACGCTTCGAAGAACGGACGGGTATGTCGTCTCAGTTAGCGTCGGGGGAAAAAACGGTTCGCTGCGGACGCATCGTGGCCAGACAATGGGGGAAGGGAGGGGAGAAATGGGGAAAGGACATATGCGAGGAAGCTGGGTATATGTGAAGGATCTGTGGAGTGGGAAGTCGGTGAAGATAAGGAGAGGGAGGGCGCGTCATTTATGACGTCGGTGGGAGGGCGTTGCGACGCGTCGCGCGGACGAAGTTGATGGAGGCGACGACGATTGCGACACGCGTGGATAGGTATCAGGTTCTGTGTTGTGGCTGGTCGAAGACAGATGCGATATGTATCGAATGGGTGTGGACGGTGGTGGAAGGAAGAAAGAAATGAAGATGGATGATGGATGGAGGCGGAAATTCAGGACTGGACTCGGGTCAATTACCTTGTGTCGGATTGAGGAAGAAAGAAGCAATGGGATCTCCGTCGCGCAAGATTAATAGCGTTTCGGGCAAAGTCAAGGCCTTGCGTGCCTTTGTATCAGAATTGGACTGGGGATTGGTGGCGTCGAATTGGAGGCAGGATTTGGTTAGCGCAACACGCAGTGATAAAGACTTGCCAAAATAACAAGCAGGATGTGGACAGTATTGATTTCCGGTCTAGCGGTTAAATACAGAAACGACAAGACAATTCCAGAATTAACAGTCGTTATTGTGTGCCCAGGATGGCAGATGCGCACAGAGATTGGTGGGGGATGGTCAAAGAGGGAATGGCGGTCGGCAAATCTTGGTGGACCAATGGGCAACGGTCATGATCAGACAGGCTTCGCGCGTGAATTTTTTGAGCGGAACCGCGGCAGGTCTGAAATTGGTACAGGTGTGAATCCGACGCTGGCGAAGAGCGGCGCAACGACGAAAAGATGGTAAATGTCGGAATATCTGCAGGGTCGGGACTAGAGCTGCGGGCGGGTACCTTTTTGACTCTTCTTGAGCCAACGAGCCTGTCCAGGGCGATCAAGAATCCCGTCCCAAGACGACTTCCAAAGAAATTTGAGGTAGTTCGGGTGGGAAAGACCGAGTATTTTGAACTCTGCAACAGAGCGGCTGGAACGGCAGAGGTCGTCTCGCAGTATTCCATGTCGTGTGTGTAGTGCCTCGGACATTCCACGCTGCAATAGGGCGGTCAGGTGCAATAGGGCGGTCAGGAGCCGCCAGCCATCCGTCGAAGGTTAAAGCGCGGGCCCAGGATGGCGAAGAGACAGATGCGCGCTATTCCGGAGCAAGCTTCGCTACCAAACGACCGCGCTGAAATACGGCGCAGTTTTTACGTTGCATTTCAAATCTAAGGGGAGTGAGAGCGGGCGCCCGGGACTGCGCACTTGGTATACGAGAAGTTGGTCAAGAACCATCTACTTTTTTGCAATCGGATGACCGACTGCGTGCAAGGGTGGACCGTCCACTCGTAGCACGCAAAGGTTTCAAAATTCGATAGTGGCAAGCGCCTGCTTGAGTGAACGGTTCCAGGAGTCAGGAGTGCCGCGGCAACGGGCGCTGCGAAGCGCATCTGCAGGGGCATAAGTTACTCCGGTGGATTCATACCATGTCTTGACTAGTATATCGGTTAGTACACGCGCTTGTCAACTTGGTATACGCGCGAAAGCTGGGTTCGACTCCCAGGTCGAGAGTTCTTTTTGCATTTTTCTGCTTTATGTTATCCTTTAATCAAGCTTGAAAGCAGAATCTTCCGGTGGACTTTTACCAACCCTCATAGTCACCATTGATAAAGATTGGGTCAGTCAGATCGTGACTGTCCTGTTTTTGCACGAAATATTTGTTTCAAAAATTGTATTTTCCAGGACCGTATTTTTGCGGAGAAAAGGCTCACTCCCGACTCAAAGAACACGGAATGTGGGATCCATATTTAGCCCATTAAGAGCTCCCGTCTCAGAATGCCCTTTTTTAATACCATGCAAATATGTTTTGTTATTGTCGTTCCATTGGGCACTCTACACTTGCGCAGCGCAAGTTGCGCTCCGTAAAACTTGCTTCTGAATGTACAGTGAGGCGCAGATACGCACGTTGCACATGAAAACTGCCTGATCCAACCGTAATGGCCCAGGGGAAGGTTTATTTCGCTTCGGCATGAGGGTCAGCGGGGCTATCTGATAAGGCCGATAACACAAAGATGATTCAGAGGAGATAAGATCCCGATAAGATAGAAGGTTGATTGCAAGATCAATAGCAAATTGATCCAAGATTTGTGAAACGGAAACTGTAAGTGGATCGGTCAAAGCGTTGGTTACGAGGATTGATTTGAGGAAAGTACTGACTGGAACAAACGCCACCCAATTTTTTTTCGGAGCGCATTGGACAGACAGCGGGCGAGACGGATTTTCGACACCAGAGTCCTCATCGCAGGAGCTCCGGCCCACCAAAATAGATGTCGTACAGTTACTCGATTCAAGAGATCTGTCCCACAGAAATTAGATAGCGAGGAGAGATAAATAGAAAGATTGAGATTATCAGATACCAGCTTTCACCAGCGGTCCTATCCTGCGCGAAAACAAAATGCCCCAACAACCCACTGTCGGCTACGACTACCACGACGCTATGATCGTCGGACACGGTGAGTAATTTTTCCTCTGAATAAAAGCCCACCTTCATTATTTACTACAGCTGTCCTGGTGTCGATCGCTACATTGCTCACTGCCCCAGCCGCCATCTTGATTGGGCGGTACTTTCGGTCGCGCAGCTGGTGGTTTAAGGTGCACCTCGCCCTCCAGACGATCACCGCTATCTTCGTCATCGTGGGCGTCAGTGTGAGCCTCCGCGCGGTGAGCCACAACGGCAACGGCAACCAGCTCGTCGGCCCCCTCAAGGACCCGCACCACGACCTTGGCTTCTCGATCCTCATTTTGTTTCTGGTGCAGTTCACCCTCGGGGTGGCCGCACATTACACGCACTCCGCGGGACCCGCCAAGGGCGCCTTCCCCACATTGACCACGCCCAAGAATCCGCTCCGCCACGTACACGTCGGGTTCGGAATTATTATGACGGCGCTGTTGTATGCGGGCGTCAAGACCGGCATGGACGAATGGGACGCCGTCGCTGACAACGCCACGCACGTCCCCACTGGGGTTCGCATCGTCTATTGGGTGCTTTTCGGGCTCGCTGTCGCAGCGTACGTTTTCGGTTGGATCTTGGAACCCTTCCGCGGTGGAAGCCAGCAGGATTCAGTCGATGCTGGAAGTACGGAAAAAGTGGAGGGATGAGAGGCCGCAAGTAATGTCGAAACGATTACGAGTTCCATTGGGTCCTTGCTTTGGTAGGGAGGTCATGTGTTCGATGTCGAGGTAAATTTTCGGATTAGCGCGTTGGAGGTCAATTAAATTCAATCAAGATTGAGGAAAGCTAGGGCTACAATGAGGTTAAATACATTTGAGTCGAGATTGCGGTCCGAATTTTTAATGTGCCGAAATGGCGGGAACAGCAAACGGATAATCGGTATAGCCCTTGGGGTCAAGGCTTCCGGGTGCGTAGTAGAGTGCACGATTCCCGATGGAGAGATTGATCGCATGCAAGAGTCGGTATGGGAGGTCCGGCTGAAGATAAGTCAGAAATAAGGATCGGACAACAAGAATGAGAGCTCACGTTTGCAACATACGCTCGCCCGAATGCAATCAAGTCGCCTTTTTCCTCAGCAGCCGCGATGGCGGTCTCCCGTGTGTACCCGCCAGCACTGATGAGGCGGCGATCGCCCCAGATGTCGCGGATGAAATCGTTCGAGTATTCTTCGTTGATGTCGACGGTTTGGGAGCCGTCCACCCGGGGCTCGACGACGTGAAGGTATGCGAGTTCAGGGAAACGATCCCGGAGTTGGGCGGTGAGATAGGCGTATGTAGGCTTCGGGTCGCTGTTGACGAATGTCATACCTGGGAATCAGATGTCAGCATTAGGAGGGAATAAGAATATGAAAAGTAGTACCTTCGACAGTTCCCCACGGGCTCACTCGGAGCGCAGTCTTTTTCTCTCCTACGGCCTTGACCACAGCCTCCACGACCTGCAGCGGGAAACGGGCACGATTCTCGATAGATCCACCATAGGCGTCCGTGCGGGTGTTGCTGCCGTCATGCAGGAACTGGTATAGAAGGTATCCGTTGGCGCCGTGAATCTCTACTCCATCAAAGCCAGCTTTGTGCACAGCGTTCGAGGCGGCTGTCGCGTAGAGCTGCACATATTCGTCGATTTCTTCGACGCTGAGTGGACGAGGGGTCGGTCCGCCGCTGACCGGAACGTCAGACGCAGACACGTAGGGGAAACCGTCCTCTGCGAGGACCTCGACATCAGCGGTGCGGCCGAGTGCCCACAGCTGCAGGTACATGTAAGATCCTTTTGCGTGGACTTTATCGGTGACCTATTTGCGCGCGAATTAACTTCAATATGGAAGGGATGTGAGAGAGAGAAAACGCACTGCTTTCCAAGCAAAGATTTGCTCGTCTGACCAGATTCCTGGGGCGTGCTTATACCCTCCGGCGCGCGGTGCAATGAATGTCGCTTCTGAGATCAAGAGGCTGCCAGATGTGCTGGCGCGCTGTCCGTAGTACTCTGCGACATGAGGAAGAGGAGCGTGGCCAGCGTCGGCTCGGAATCGGGTAGTGGGTGCAAATACAACACGGTGACTGAGTTCAACGCTGCCCACAGTGGTCGGCTGGAAGAGTTTGGTGCTGGACATTGGAGAAAGAGATTTCGAGTGAGGTTTGAAGTTGTTGTTGGATTGTAGCCATAGTGAAGTGCTTATATACTGCTGAGGAGTCTATCTGGAGTCGGAAATTTGAAGCAGCTTGAAGCTCGGTCAGACTTAGAGCCGCTTGGTAAGATCTGACTGTGGCGCCCATTACAAAGCGAGCAGGATTACACTGCGAGTGTAAGATCGAGCCAGGTCCCAAAATTTCCACATCTTGAATTCATACTTGACCTTGAGTGCCTGAGCCTTGTAAGCTTTCGAGAGATACAGACATGAACGAGAGGGAGATGCACCTGCACAGCCTCACCAAATCTCATCACTGATTCAGAGCCAAATTAGGCATTGAATTGCATGAGCGATTGAGCGAATTACATAGGCGATTGAGTTTGGGCAAAAAAAAAACTATATGTTCGGAATTCTGATGCGTCTGTCGCCCGAAGAGACTTTGATATTTTCCCGGCGAGTGGGAGTCGATTCGAAATCCAAGCCGTACGAGGTACTTGGATTCAATTTAGTTTCGCAAGTCAACACAACTGGTCAATCCCTGTAATGTTGTACCCGTAATTGGGTGTAACCGAGAACATTTCCGCCATGCTCCTCGGCAGACGGGGCAGAGTGAACACCTCGACCGCAAGGCGTCGCTTCGCGTCCATCTTGGGCATTCCACGGCGCAACACCGTAGTAGCCGCGTCCATCATAACTGAGCCTCTGGGCTGTTCGGCGGGCACAGCGAACCGCCACCGTATCTCTGGTCCCGCGGTGTGGGCAACACTCGCAGCATCCCGCGCGGTCATGAAATTGGGGTCGAGGATGTGCGGCGGGCAGTCGTCCTGGGACAAGAGAAAGAACGAGACTGTGAGGTTGACGAGCAATGGGCTCGTGTCTAGGAGACCAACAACAGTTTTCAGAAACCAGGAGGTAGCGTGGGTGCGGAACGGCAGGCAGAATTCGACGGAGCAGAGCGACTGAAGGGCGGGTACAAGAATGGTTTCCGATGACTGAAGACCTAGACGTGTGTGAATATGGTTTAGTCCGAGCGTCGAATACGGACACCCACCCTGAAGATCGAATTTGATGTGCTCCAGAGTCTGCGCGGAGCGAAAAGCTAGCCTGCTATCGGGGTCGAACCGGGAGAAGAAGGACAAGCGGCGCAGCGCCTGTGTATACGGCTTATATTGCGGCTGAACCAGCAAACGATAGATATCGCCAGCCTTGCCGCCCAGGGCCAAATCCTCCACTTTCAGCGCATTCTGCCAGGAGACTGATAGTGGAGCCTCGTCCTCGTTTACCCTGGTCCAGTCGAAAAAGATCTTCGGCGTTAGTGTAAGTTAAAGAAGACGCAGGATCACAGCCGGCGAAACATTGAAGATCACAGTTGCATCCAAATCGTGTAAGAGTTGGCGCACAAGAAAATTGAACAGCGCAGATGCGAATGCCGGAGTATAATATTCTGTGTTAAAGAATTGCAGCCCACCAATAGTGCACTGGCGCACATTCATCAATTTACTGAAGATCCGCGGAAGGGCCTCGATGACAGATGTGTCCCATGCGTGTATTGCGACCTCGAGAAGAGTGATGTATGCCGCGACATGGGGGGATTGCTCGAGGAGAGTGGAAACTCCAGCGAAGTCGGAACTCATTCGAGTAAAGTCGGACTTCGCTCGAGTGAACTGCAAGTCCGCGATCGTTGTGAGACTGAAAGAACGGAGCAGGATACGCTGGCTCGGCTCGCGAAATATGGTTGCTGTAAGAGCGCATGCCTTGAGAGAAAGACTATCGTCGATTTCAGCGACTATGAGTCCAATGAGCTCCGGAGGGATGAAAGCCATGGCCGAGCCAGAGATTTCAAAAATATCGACGTTGTTCCGGAATGGAGCCAGCTAGTCCAACGGGTTAACTGAGTGCTCTATGGAATAAATATTATGCGGACTGCTACCTTGA